AGAGAGAGAGAGAGAGAGAGAGAAAGAGATTCATATTAACAGTTACGAACTTATGATACAATAACAATAATAAGGATAGATATCCTTTTCTCAGAAGCCTCCATTTTTAAGAGCTTGAACTCGTTCAAGGTGTATGTACAAAGCTTTGAGCGATGGAGACGAAAAGGCATCCATACAAACCAGAACAAGGAAGAGAGAGAGAGAACAAGTATCATCATCATTCATTTTAAGTTTAAGCAAAAGAGAAGAAAGCATAACAAATGTAGAACTTTGGAGTACTAAGAAAACCAGAAAGAGAAACCACTCCAACTACTGAAATAATAGAAAGGTGAAATAATAGTTAGAGCCAGAGAGCGCCAGAGTCCTTGAGCCTGGTGAGAAGGTCCCCACTAAGGTGAAGGCCCATCAAGCTTTCAAGCCCACCGACGAGCTCCCCCCCAATGAAGACAGCAGGTGCAGAGAGCGAAGAGGAGAGGGCACGGAGGGCATCGTCGTCGGATTCGATAACGGTGGGGTGGACGCCGAGGGTGAGAAGGAGACGCTTCATCACGTGGCACATGCAGCACGATGGATTGCTGAAGATGATGACGGGGTTCTCTTCGATCAAACGCTTCGCCCTTTCGCAGGCAGTCTCCGTCTCGGAAGCAGCCGTTGTCGAGAGGGCCGACGTCGAGAGCGCTAGGCATGTCGCCCCGCCCCGACCGCGCTGCATCTCTCTGAGAATAATTTGAGAGAAAGAGAGAGAGAGAGAGGGAGGGAAAGAGGTCCTCCAAAATGATTCAAGGGAAGACAGAGAGTGAATTGACTGGTTAAGAGAATGAGGAGAGAGAAAAAGGATTTGCTTTGAATTTTAGAGAGAGAAAATTGGGGTAGGTCGAGGGGGATGGAATTCCGGTAACGTCGCCGCTGCGGGTAGACGTGCCGTACAGAGCGAAAGAGAGAGAGAGAGACTTAAGTGAGAGAGAGAGGGACTCTTGGTTTTTGAGGACGACTTTGTGGTTTTATAAGGCAAACACACGAGTAGGACCCTGTATTCCACGAAAATATCACAAATAGGTTTATTCCCAAAAAGTAAAGCCCCATCTCATTCCTACTTTCCCTCTCTAAATTGCAGCGTTAACCTCAAAAACTATTTTTACCCTAAAATAATTGAAAAATTAAAAGATGCGTAAGATTTTTTGAATTGGAGAATACTTGAAAATGGAGGAGTACAGATATTGGGTCAAAGAAATATCAGAGTGCCTTGCATTAGTGAAGGGGATTCAATGAATGTGATAAATTGATGTAATGGGTACCATAAAATTTGAAAAAAAATTGGCCAAATATTATGGATATGTGTGAAGCTTTTCAAATCTGCTTTAATCGTGTGTATAGGGATCCAAACAATATTTTACATAATGTTATTATTTCTTATGTTTTTCCTTTCTCGATGGTCATAAGTCTTGATTGATCAATAAAGTTAAAATACTCTTTTCAAAATAAAGTCATGAGAAGGGCACCCAAATAGAAGGTGCCAAAATTTTGAAAAGATATTTTTAATTTTTTAAATTTTATTCTCATTCAAGATCACCGATCCTGCAAATATTTAAAGTGCATTTTAATTCTACAATATAATCATTTTCTATTTTTTTTTGTTCAATCGGGTGACGGTACTTTTTTCTTCTTTTTTTTTTTAAACACGCATGATTTTTATTTAATTATTTTCTTTGAGGCTGGCTATTAGGTTTTCTTATGTATTCTTGGGAAATTTTACTGCAGAGAGCAAATGCACATTACAATCCCATGGAAGTAACAAGTCTTTTCACTTTCTTATCTTATTGTAATGTTTAAAATATAAGGACACATGGGCTCAATAAAAGTATGACTATTACTAAAACAGGATGAAGGATAAAATTTGTGTAGTCACTATCAAATATTTAAAAAAAAAAAAACTCTTACAGTCTCTAAAGGACAAAACCGATATTTCGAACATATAAAAAATCATTTTACGAGCATGCCCTTGCTAAAAACGAAGTGCGCGGTTTTGGACGTGAGCGTGACCCACATGGGCTAGGAGAGGCGCGTGACGTCGTAGTGACGTCACTGTGTCTTCGCTGACGTGGCGGATCAACGGGCCCACCGCCTCCCCTCTTCTCTTGCGTCATCCCACGACCCGTTACTGTTGCCTTACGCCGCTGATGCCATTGTCGTGGCCAATGACGTCATTGGAATACACGCCACGTCGTCCCCCGAATCTACACCTCCGTCTACAGAAGGTGCCCCTGCCACGTCGGATGCGGAGTACGTGAAGGGTGGACTATCGAGCTTGGATGTCTCGAGGTTTCTATTTTTTAAAAAACTTTCATATAAAACTATAATGCTTCATATTATTTGTGGACCCTCTTTCTGTTTTTTTTTCAAATGGCATAACTAAATTCTTAAAGATTTCATTATACCCCATCATCTCTTATCTTCCTCTTTTAATGACTTTTGATCATAAAAATTAACCCTAAAAACTTTTTTAATGGGTGGAAAGGAAAAAAAAGTTCAAAAAGTTTTTTTTGATTGAAATGGTATAAAAAGATTTATTAGGGCTAATTTTATAGTCAAAAGTCAATTAAAGAGAGAGATAAGAGATGAGGGGTGCCATGAAATCTTCAGGAGTTTCCTTATGCCGCTTTAAAAACGGAAGGAGGGTCTACTGTGAAATAATATAAAGAATTAGGGTTCTATATGAAATTTTCCCTTTATATTTACATAAGGACTCGGTTCCCACATATGTAGAAATATGAGCCTATTAATAAATCTATTTTTGAGATGGATTTGAGGACTCAATTTTTAAGGACATGAAATCTCTAACATGGAGATCATGAATATGAAAAAATAAATAAATTTCAAAAACTACAAATAACAATTCTAGTAAGAAAACATTTAGACCATTATTTTTTATTGTTTTTAGATGGAATGCCTACTTGCAACCATCTTTAAGATGGATGCTTTACTCTTTTTGAACAGCATATGTAAAAATCCGGCCCAACCCACATGAAACAATTTTCCTTTACTTAAAATGCCCCTACCATGGTTTCAATACTGTCTGTGAAAAATTTCTATATGGCATGTGCATGCCTGTCTTGAATCTTAACCAGTGTTTTAAAATGTGGATCAGAACCGATCAATCTGGATAGGAATTGCTCATGCCAATCTGGATGCTGTAAAATATTAAGAATAAGTAGGTTTCCCCAAATAGTTGGGAAAATGCTTACTGAGGGACTTATGACCTCACTGAGGTATGGTCCTTGATAGAGCATAATGATGGACCAGTACTCGTATAGTCGACCTTAAATAATTGGGAAAATGTTATGATGATAATGGTAGGTTTCCCCATGAATCGGCTGGTTTTGATTGGTTTCGACTGGTTCTGTCAGAGAACTTTATAGAACCAGCCCCACTTTTTAAAATTTTTAAATTTTTAATTTTTAATGACCGAAACTTATGGGTTTGAATCAGTTTTGGCATGTTCTAAAATAGAATCGATCAGTTCTATTAGAGAACTAGTTGAGAATGCATGAGTAGCTTTGAGATGGAATTTTATTGAAGCGTATGAGGAGCATATTGTATACTAACTCTTTGAGCAAAATAAGTGTTTAAAAGGATTTTGTCTACTAATTTTTTTTGAAATAAATGTAAGAATCGAAAACTTGATTATTGTTAAAAAAGTAAATAATTTTGGATTTTGAGTTCTAAATGCTTAGATATCGTGATCCAAAAAAATTGATATGCTCAATCTTAGGATGCTATTATTTTCAACGACATACATGATTTATTTTATTCGACTTCATTTATTTCATTTTATTTTTAAAGTTTAGCAGCTAGTTTGAGGAGGCTACATCAGGGGCTGTAAAAATACTCCTAGACTGGTTTTACCTAAGGGAGTAAATGAAGGAAATGCTACCTCAAGGGAGCATAGAACATTGCTATTTGCAATATAATTTTGGGTGGCAATACAAAGGCAAATCCTGACCAGAAATATCACCATTTTAAATTGAATGTTATTTGCATTCTTGATTTTGCTACTCCCATGGAAAATATGGAAGGCAATACAAGAGCCCCTATTGGCTAGATTTGTACCATAAAATAGTAATACATGGACAAAAATAAAAAACTTTCCCTTTTTATTTCTCAAAATCTTGTGAATCTGTTCAACAAAAAACATACTTATTGTTTCAAAATTAAATTTTTTAACTTAAAGTTACGCGTCAAGTGAGTTGGCTGATCAATCTTAATTATTAGATGATAAAATAGATTGAGGTTTTCCTTCCTTTGAAAAAATTCATTATTCATTGATATTCCTCTTTCACTTGATGCATGAAAAATGTGAACTAAAATTCATTCAAGGTGTTTCAATTTGACACGTGGGGTTGCGTTAGGCTCGGTAAAATGTATAAGATAATTACGTATTCATTTTAAGTTTCTAGACCACCGTCTAGGTTGTGTCTGGGTCCAAGTGACCCAACCGAGGTCTAGGTTAGGTTTGGGTCCAAGTGAAACCTAGTTGGCTCAAAACGCATCCGGAACCAAGTCACCCGGACCCGACCCTTTCCCACCCTTGAAACAACCATAGCGAAATCTAAGTTTCAAATGGAACTTAGCCCACCACTACTGTCCAAGGTATAACCAAGTTTAAAATAAGGAAAACCAGACTTCATTGAGACGCACTCATCCCTTTTATTTTGAGTATTGGACACGAATGCGCGAGATGGTTTAGCTTTCTTCCAGGATTAAATGACATTATCTTGGAGAGTACAAGATGCTCCCAGGTCATGATGAGAATATAACCAAGATACAATCAAGTTCAATGAAGCACAATATATAGAATTTTTTGTGTTGCATACTCGAGATGAAATCTTCGAAAAATATAGTTTCTTATGTTGATTTGGCCTTTAGTCGGTTTGGACCAAACTTCAATTTGGAGCAGGTTTTAAGGAATTTGGTTGGATAAATCTCAAGATACATATTTTTTAAATCGGATGTTTGTAGGAGTGCCATTGACTAGACTAAAAGTTCAAATTTTTTTTTCAAACTTCATGAAACATCGCAAACCATCTAATTTGACATTTAATGATTAAAAATAATTGTGACCTCCTTGTAACAAATATAAATAGCCAATATACAATCCCATTTTTTTATATATTCACTTATCTCATTTCTCCCTTCTTCACCTCTCCTCCCCTATCATTACCCTCATGTGATTTTCAATTTTTAATTTAGCATGCATGTTTTGTTCCCTTAGGACAAAAATATACTCTTTCTCTCTCAAGAAAGACCTTCCAAGGAGGAATCTTTTGATATTGAATTTTAGAATCCTTTACCTACTAAGAGAAGAGTTGTGTTAGGTAGGACAGCTAGCGTAAAACTGTTATATCTTTTCATAAATACTTAACCTATTAACAAACCAAATAGTTAGGATAAGGCTCAAATTATAATGATAATGATTCTACTTATGAATTGAGGGTGGCTCGGACTAGGCTGCAGGGTTTCCCTCGTGTCCTACATTTCCGAAACAATGAACCACCAGGGGACTTCTCATGTGTCCCAACCTGCGTCCTACAATGTCCCAAACAGTGAAACGTAAGGGCAGACTTTGGTACTTTTCTTTTATATTTATTTAGAAGACAATTAAAAACAATTGTAATTGCCGCATTAGGACAAGGTCCTGCGCCCGCCCAAGGTCTCATGAGCGTCGCAAGAATGATTGGGAGAGCTGATGACATGGCATCAGTTGACACGTGGCAGGAGGACATAGTTCCTTAGCATAGAAGTATCGGTGAGCCATCAAATAATAATTTAGTATTGTTAAAGCTGGGGTGGGTTACTTTAGGGTAAAGGCTGTCCCCCATGAAGAGGGAAAAAGCCCATAACAAACAAATCGAACCCCAGTTAAAATTAAACATTCAAAAGGCAAAGGCACAGTGCCAGTCTTGAAGA